TTGCTTTTATGATGATGACACAAACATGGATATTCATGTGGGTCAATCATACTCGTTCCTGGTCACGATGGATCAAAGTGGTAGTAACGATTACTACATTGTCGCTAGCCCTCGGTTTACACATTCACCTTTGTCGGCCAAAGTTACCGGAGTTGCCATATTGCGCTACTCTAATTCCCAAGGACCTGCTTCAGGTCCACTTCCTGATCCTCCTAATGATTTGGACACGTTTTTCTCAATGAACCAAGCACGATCCATAAGGTTGTTGCCGATTACATATGTTTTTGTTTCATGCTTGGATGGAATACTATTCCATTTTTATTACATATGGGAATTCAAAGCTTTTATGATTTTACATGTATCCTTTGCATCGTTTGACTATATGGTTAAGTTTGAAGCTAATTCTGTGACCGCCCTTATTTCCTACATGTTTATCCTAATAAAGCACGTGTGTTTATCTTTTCCGTTCTGTTCTCAATCGCAATTTTGAGTTGTTTCTGATCCATCGGCTGTTTGGTAGGTGGAATGTCTCTGCTGGAGCTGCACGTCCAAACCCTCAGGGATCATTCAAGTATGGTGACATCACAGTAACTGATGTGTATGTGATAGTCAACAGGCCGGCAGAGCTTATAGATGGGAAATGGCGTACCACTCTTAATGGTATATCATATCTACCTCCTTCAACGCCCTTAAAGCTTTCCCAGCAATACAATATCTCAGGGGTATACAAACTGGATTTCCCTAAAAGACCAATGAACAGACATCCCAAGGTTGATACGTCTCTTATAAATGGCACGTTCAAGGGATTCATGGAAATAATTCTCCAGAATAACGATACCACTGTCAAGAGTTATCATTTGGATGGCTATGCCTTCTTTGTTGTCGGGTAAGCAAGCATGTATTACTTACTCCCATTTAGACCATGTGCTTGTAACGACAGTACCTAAAAATCAGGAAAATGTGAATCTGACAAACGATGATGTTTGCTTGAAGCATGGACTTTGGTCTTTGGACAGAGAATAGCAGAGGCACTTACAACAAATGGGATAGTGTTGCTCGATCCACTATACAGGTGTTTTACATCTTAACATCTTAAGCTCGTATGTTCTGTTCAAAAGCTACCCATAATAAAAAGTGAATGCCCACTGCATTGTGGCAGGTTTTTCCTGGTGCTTGGACAGCCATTTTGGTTTCGCTGGACAATGCTGGCATGTGGAACCTCCGGATAGATAATCTCGTCTCGTGGTATCTGGGCCAAGAGGTATACTTGAGTGCGGTGAATCCCGAGATCGACACATCTGAGGTTCCCATGCCCGGAAACACTATATACTGCGGTCTTCTTTCACGTTTACAAAGGTAAGGTCCTCAGAGACACATGCATTATCTATTCCTGAACAATGAAAAGAAAGGATCTCACAGGAATGTTATAGAGGAAAGAAGAAAAAGCTTCTCTTTTTCTTTTTTATCCCAAGTTTGTCTCGGGGTACACATTTTAACTACATGTTTTTTGTATTATCGGAAAAACCTTAAATTCGGAAAATGTAATGAGAGGGAAACCTGATTTAGATAGATTTTTCATTTTGATGCTCTCTTCTATCTGCTGTTTGCATTTGAAGGGATTCTTGGTTTGTGCAGGGACCAGGCACAAAGGGTAAACTTTTCCGGGTCACCAACTATCTTTGCGAGAAGCAAAGGGCTTTTCTTTGCTCTTGTCGTAATCTTACTCGGAAGTTTAGCCACGTAGTTAATCTCGCAAAGCCACGGTATACGACCACATTCCCCTTTCCGGGTACCATATAACCGAGCAGGTATTGGTAGACCAATGTTTTGTATCTGAGAAAGTTTGTAGATTGAAATTTGAAACAGAGATCCTGTTTCTTATGTGTTTGCATAGAGTTGGTTCTGAACAACATTGTTAGCCGTAAGGCATTGTAATACAAGATTTTGTAATCTTTGTTTTTGTATCTGAGGTGGTTTTAGATGTTACATTGACATTGGATGAGCCCTAGTATTATATACGACCCCTAATTTAATAAAGTCAAGATGGCCGAGTTGGTCTAAGGCGCCAGTTTCAGGTACTGGTCCGAAAGGGCATGGGTTCGAATCCCATTCTTGACATCGAATCTTTTTGCTCTTCTTTTTATTTTCGAATTTAAACTGGGGGATTTACAAAAATGACTTTAAATGTCATTTTGACTTCAAGGGTGACCTTGAAATTTTGATAATTCCAATTTTGTCCTTCAATATAATAATTATATTTTATTATTATTTTATTCAGGAGACTTTATTTCGTTTTCGAAAAAACTTAATATTTCTTTTATTCGGTTTAGCGTTTCTTCTAAAAATGGGAGCCAATGTCCATTATAATTATCTTTCGATGAATGTTTTCTAAAATATTCAATTTTTATTTCTTTTATTGTAATTAATTTTTTTAATTCTGTAATTATGGTGTTGGTGATGATCGTTTCCTCGTTGGTGATCCGGAGATCTGATCGGTTTTTTGATATTGTTCAGGGGCGGTGTTTATTTCCAGAGTTCTGGAGTAATTGGTTTGTGATTCAAAAGAATCTATTCAAGGCCTCCAGAAGATATAGATCTTCAAGCCAATCTCTT